TTATTCGATATTTTCTTTGGGAGGTTTCACAATTGATATTTTTGAAGAGATAATTTAGAAAAAATAATTGTTCACCTAACTATAAAATTTGTGCACATGTAAACATTTAAATATATTTATTCTTTCTAAAACACGAATGAGTACATAATTAAATTCAATCAATTAGCTCGATAATTATGTTAATCTTAAAATAAAAAAGAGAAAAAACTACGAAGTTGATATTTTTGAAGATATAATTTAGAAAAAAATAATTGTGCGCCTAACTATAAAATTTATGCACGTGTAAAATTACTCTTTCTAAAAGCTATAATAATTAAATTCAATCAATTAGCTCGATAACACATAATGCTACTTGCAGTCGCTCACTGCAGCAGTCGTTCTATGTGGCACACACATGACAAGTGTGTATTTGATGCATTACATGTGGTCAAAAACTACAATATTAATGCATCAAATAACTACATGTCATTTGTGTGTCACATAGGGCGACTGCTGCAGTGAGCGACTGCAAGTAGCATTACTCTTTAATTAAATAAAAAGTTTATTTTCCCTGATTTTAATGAAATTAGACTAGATTAAATTGATATTTTGACAATGACATGAAACAATCGAAAATAGATTCGTTAATCGGACTCATTTATACTTAAAACACGTTNATTAAATGTGGTAAAAAACTACCACATTAATGCATCAGATAATTACATGCCATGTGTGTGCCACATATGACGATTGCTGCAGTGAGCGACTGCAAATAGCATTACTCGTCAGAAAATTGGCCACAGAATTTATAATTTCGAAGGCAATATCTGTGTTGAACTTTCTAGAGGTGTTTCGTAATTCAATAATGCTGAAAATAATTAATAAGCTTTTAATTTCATGTATTTTCCATATATCATTCTCCAAGGGAGTAGTGACAAGTGTTTGCTACACACATAGAAAGTTGTCATTGAATTTTAGTCGACTTCAAAACTTACTTCCACATGTTACATAATAACGCAATATTCTCTTAAATTAACTTTATTTATTCGATTAATTATATGTTTCAATCATAATATTAGACAAGTTCAAAACACCAAACATTCAGTTGCATATTTAACTACCCCGTTAAAAGAAAAAAGCGTGTTGTCGAAGCACGGGCAGCAAAGCATCTGCATTCCAGAGCAAATGTTTGCATTTAAACGAACAAAATAGCCACGACAAAAATAAGGATTTATAGTTTGTTCAAGAAAGTTTATAACGAAGTAATGGATGAATTTTTTGTTAGAATTAGGATGTGACCTGAATTCCTTGTTGAAGTAATTGAAGTGTACGTCAAGAATAATTCAGTTTGGAATGCTATTAGAGTCTTATATCAAGTTCAAATTCTATTTTGGAAGCACATTGGGAGTTGGAAATTGGTTCTATGATTATGTTTATATACTATTTATAGTCATAGAATTAAACCTCAAATTAAATAATTGAAGAGAAAATTTGTTTTAACTTTTTCTTTTATTAATTATGAAAGATTGATCCCTTATGGAAATTGGAATTTGAAAAGGAATCTACATAGCGTTCGTTTGACCTATTATTTCACATTATAATGAGAGAAATAATAATTTTTTGAAGAATACGTGTGGTTAAAAAAGAAGAAAAGTTTTTGAATTTACTTGTAATATTATTTTATTAAAAATGCGTGGTTGATAAAAAGATAGAGAAAAATAAATTATAATTTAATGAGAAATAATGAGCTGCTAAAAATG